GCAGCGCCCGAGAGTCCTCGCCCTGGCAACTGGGGCAGTCGCGAATGCCAGACTCCTCCGCGAATCCGAGACCACGCACGGAGAGGGGAACATGTGGAACGAATTTACAGGGTATCTTATGTTCCTTCCTACCTAACGCCAACCCCGCAGCTCATGGACTAACAAGCTCATCACTGCCAAGGACCACGGGTCTGTGCAGCTGAACATCGGCCACCTGGACGAGAACGGTGTGTACAACGGCTCCTTCTCCACCCTGGCCCTGCACGGCCAAGTCCGCGCCAAGGTAAGCAGGAAAGAGTGAGATTGAGGGACGAAGTGTTTCGCTAAAGGCTGGTGGGGAAATTGGTTGAAAGCTGGCATCCCCATGCCTGCACACCCATCCATTCATGCAGGGCAACGCCGACAGCGCTGTGGACATCCTGTGGAAGCGGAAGCAGGCTGAGATTGGTCAGTGAATGGTCTCCCTATCGTTGCACAGCGTGATGTAACTGTCCTGGGATCAGCTTCTGGAAGAGGGAACGAGGTTCACATCGGGACGGAGTGCTTGGGAGGCAGTGCGTGGACGAAGGGGCAGAAAGGGATTGCAGGCGGCGAGGAGGACTATCAAAGTGGCTGGTGTAGCCCGGCAGAATCACAAAGCCTCTTGGGTGAGCAAGCGCAGGGCCCATGGGTGGGCGGCCGTGGGTGCCTGCAAGAATAGGCTTCTTTCCTTGTCGCATGGCACACGCTTGAAATCGACACGTCAATGGGGAAGGCCAACCTGATAGTCAGGCGAGGAGCTTCTATTTGGCCTTGTATCAGAAGCAATGATTAGCACCGCGTTGCCTGGCAGTGAGATGCATATCTACTCTGGTCGGTGTTGTTGTCTCCATGGGTACCTGAGTGACGAATGAAGCGTCTTGCAAGTGGCCCCCCAATAGAGCATGTCGCCGCTCAAGCCAGGCCCAGTCCAGGGTGACGCCATGGCCCCGTTCCCTGTCATGCATGCCTCGGCGCGGCCCATCATGGCGAGACCGGGAGGCGCAATAGGGCGAGGTACCGGAGGCAGGTGTCCGGGGTGATGGTGGCGCTGCACTCGGCCAGCGTGCCCAGCAGGCTCCTCCCCACCTCGTAGACCTTGCGGGTGATGAGGGAGTTGGGGTCCTCTTGGGGTATGCGGCGCCCATGCAGGGGCACAGCATGGCGGTCGAGGCGTGGTTTGAGCGCAGCAGGTACGAATTCGATTGCAAGGCCGGATTGCCGCTCTGGGTCATGCCCACGGCCTGCGCCTTACAGAGTTGCTAACAGGGGTGCTCAAGGGCCACGCCATGGCCAGGCCAGCCTCCAATTCCTCACCCCAGGCAGCATCCCACCTGCGCGTGGTCGGCCTGCAGGCCCGCCACCCACTCCTCGATGTCGATGCCGTGCGCGCCGGCCGCCAAGATGATGCATGCCAGGGCAATGGTGTGCGGGGGGTGCAGCAGGTGGCAGCGGCTCAGGTACGAGTCGTTCAGCAACGCCCTGTGAGGATCACGGGATGGAGAATGGAGTCGATGGTTGGCGGGCGGCTTCTGGGTACCTTGAGGGTGGCGGGGTTCCGTCAAGAGCGGTTCTGTGTTTAAAACACATCAAAGGCAGATATCGGGGTACACCTTGGACAAACGCCTGCGCGCCCCAACCCCTCCCCGCTCTCGCATGCGTCTCGTCTCCTTGCAGCGGCAAGTGAAGGCCTGGGAGCACCAATCTCATTATGAGCAGTCGATGTGTGCTCCTTGCGTCCCATCTTTTACAACTCTCCACGCCTCCCAGCCTCTCACCCCCCCCCCTCCACCACACCCCACCAGGCAGTGCGCGTGACGGCTTGATTGGCCTGCAGGCCCGCCGCCGTCAGACCCTCCAGCAGCGAGGGTATGGGATCGAATACCAGCAGCGCGACGTTGACCTTGGCCTGTGCATGGGGAGGAGAATGAGGTGCACTAAGACCTCGCTGCTGATACCATGCAGCATGCAACAGACCCCAAGCATGCGCCGGCCATGGTATCAGCTGCAGGGGGAAGGTCTCCTTGCCATGAGAGTGTCTGCGGGCGCCCCTCGGAATATCTTCAGGCTCTCTCATGCAAGCATTTCTCTCCTCCATCTTTGTCAACTCGATGGATATATACTGCTCCCATTCCACAGCCCAAAACTCCCATTCCTCACCACCAGCTGGGCCTCGGCGGCCAACACGGCGGCCAGGGCGGCGGGCGCGTGCCATCGCCCGCTGGACCCCAGCGTCGTTGCAGTGTGCATCAGCCCCTTGGCATGCACCGGCATCTCCTCCACCTTGGACGCGAGGAAGAGGGCGGCCAGGGAGAGTGCGCGCGGGTCCGCCCCCGCGAAGCCGTCGTCCGCGTAGAACCAGCGGAAGTAGAGCGCGGCGGTGGAGACCACTCGGCGGCGGAGCAGCGGGGCGCCATCCTTGCGTGCCACGCAGCCCATGGCTGTCATGTCTGCAGGCGAGGTGCCGGGGTCAAACGAGGGAGGGACAGGAGGGTCCAGGGCCAATGTGGGCGCATCTCCGGCGGGTGGCCCAGAGTTGCCGACCGAGGGTGCAGCTCTGGCCGCAGCGCTTCCCTGGTCCCCAACGCGGCGCACATCGAGGCTCTGACCCCAACCCACCCCGCCTCGTCCTTCCCCTCACACATTTGAAAAAGTACTGGTACAGCTGGTTGATCTGGCGCCAGGCGAGACCAGACTCAAGATCCTTGGCGTGGGAGGTGTGGAAATCGGAGGGCTGCAGAGCGCAGGCCCTGCGAGATGAGGTGCGAGCTGGGAGTCAGGGAGGGACAGGGCTGGGCACGGAGCGCACAATGCTTGGCCGCGAGCGTGGCTTAAACATACCTCTGCGAGGAGAGCCAGTAATTGGCTGCCATTACTTCAGCGGAAATGTATGAGATGCCGTATCGCACGTTCGGTATTCAGCAGGCTGGTGTGGCCAGCCCAACACTCCATAGGAGCACTCAGGAGCGGGACGAGGCCACACGCGGCCCCTCCCTTCCCTATCCCAGTGGCACCTCAATCCGCCCTTTATACTATATATATGTCTTTAAACTGCACTGTGAATGCCTCGTGCCGGATGGTGGAAGGGCAGATCACTCGCTCCGGAGTGGGGTTTCCGGGAGGGACAGCTTTCCCCGGGTCGATGATTGGGCAGCCTCTGCCTCTTCCATGCAGGGGTAGCCGATTTCCCTCTGATGCCCGCTGACAGGATCGTGCCAGCAGGGCAGGAAGACACACCCCGATCCAGGGACCATCGGAACTGCCCGCCGGGCCATCGTGCGCCGTGGCCCATGCGCTCAAGCTCAATTTCGACTGTCCTAAGCTTCGGTCGCGACCGGTGGCAGCCATAACACGCCCGGGGCACGGCAAGTTTGCGAGGGTCGCCGACCATCGCGGGTGAGCGGGGGGATGCATCCCAGGTGAAATGATGATTGAAGGCATGTAATGCGCGGTGTTAATGGCCCACATTCTGCACTCCCCAGCCCCCAGGAGCTGGCATACGAAAGTTTGAAGCGGGCCCCGGCTCAGCCACGCGGTCAGTGGACCTTAGGGCACCGAGATCCTCCTCGTCGTTACCCCCTGGTATGTGGTATGGTTTACTCCATCGTCGCCTGCTGGCCCTGTACCGCCCTCCCGGAGGTGATCGCGGCACCGACGGGCGGTCTCACCCACCACCTTTCCCTCCCACTCTCCCGCGTGGGATCGGGCCAGGCATGAGACCCTGCCTCGTATGCTCAAGCCTCTCTCCAAGCATACACACCGCAGGCAGGGCAATGTCACACCCCTGACATCTGCCATGGAAGACCCAGCGGCCTCTCCCGCGCCGCCGGCGCCACCAGCCCAACCCCCCCTTGAGGCGATCACGCCCGCGGGAGAGCAGCAGCCTGCCCCGCCGCCGGCCGGCCCAGACACGGCCACACCCTCGGCTGGTCCCTCAGCCGCCGAGCCCCAGTCGGGGGGCGGGACGTACTACACCTCCTCCGGCCAGCGCGCGCGCCCCCAGAAGACGCCGTTCCAGAAGGAGACGCTGGAGGCGGCCTTTGAGATGAATCGGCACCCCACGGAGGAGATGCGGCGGGTGCTGGCGGAGCGCATTGACCTCACCGAGCAGCAAGTCGGGGTGAGCGGGGTGTTTCACGATCAATGCCCCCCGAGAATGCGACGACTCCCTTCTTGCCACCCGCTCACCCAGACCTTTCACACCCCTGCCCCCAGACCTGGTTCCAGCACCGGCGCCAGCGCAAGCGCAAGGAGCAGGTGCAGCAGGCCGTGGCCCAGGCCGTGCTGCCTGGCGCCCCCGCCTACATGGCGGGGAAGCCCGGCGACGGCGGGCCGGAAGAGGACGGGAAGGGGGCTGAGGACCCCGCCGCGGTCCAAGAGCTGGCGGCCTTGCTGGAGCTGGCTGCGGCGCACCTCCCCGTGCCCTTCCGCCCCGACGGGCCGCCCTTGGCGCTGGAGTTCGACGCGCCGCCCGCCGCGGCGCCCATCGGCGCGGCGGGCTTCGCCGACGCGGCCACGCAGGCGGCGGTGGCGGGCCTGCTGGGCAAGCGCCCACGCCCCGACGGCGCAGCTGACCCCGACCCTGCAGCTGGCGGCGCGGGACCCCCGCCCAAGAAGCCCTCCGCCGCGCGCCCCGGCGGTGGCGGCTCCGGCGCCAAGCCCGCGCGCCCCGCCGCCTTCGCCCCCGGCGACCTTGACCGGCTGCGTGCCGAGGACGAGGCGCGCGCCGCGCTGCTGGCGGAGCGCGCCCGCCTCCAGGACGAGCGCCTGGAGGCCAGCATCCGGCGCGAGCAGGAGCGGCTGGCGCGCGAGCGCGAGCGCGTGGATGGGCGCGTCGCGCGCGAGCGCGAGCGCGAGCTGCAGCGCCTGGAACTGGAGCGTCGCAGGCACGCGGAGAAGTCGCAGAAGGAGCAGAAGAAGGAGGAGGAGCGGCGCGCGCGCGAGGCCGCGCGCCTGAAGCTGCTCCAGGTTTGGTGTGGTCGTGGGCTTTGAGTGGTCGGGATGTGGGGAGTGGTGATCCCCGCGGTGGGGCAAGGGGCAGTGTGGTGGAAGCTGCAGATAAATGAGCAGGGTCTCATGGACATGTGGAAATGGTTCTCAGCTGGAGCAGCAATGGCTGGCTGGTGGGTACCCTGTTGGTGACAGCTGTGGTTGCAGTTGCACCATGCCAGCAATCCCATCCGTTCATGAGGCGGGTCATCGCCTGACGCATCACACCTGCCGCACCTCCTCCCCGCTCCCCACCATCCTTACCACCACCACCACCCATACCACCTCTTCCTTCCGCAGGAGAAGGAGGAGAAGCGGCTGGCGGCGCTGGCGGACAAGGAGCGGCGGGCGGAGGAGCGGCGGCGCGCGCTGGAGGAGCGGCGCAAGGAAAAGGACCAGCTCAAGGCCCTGCAGCAGCAGGAGAAGGCGGTGCTGCGCCTGCGCGTGCGCGACTTTGGCACCGGGCCGCGCGACGACGCCGACCTGGAGTGGGAGGACCTCATTGCCGAGTATCGCACGACGCATGGGTGAGGAGCGGGGGGCGGGGGGGAGTGGAATTTATCAGGTGGACTTGCAGGAGTGCGGGGACTGTTGGATGAGCTGACTTAGGTCGGCAGGCGGGTGCGGCACCCGAGCTGAGACAGTCCCTCGCATGCAGCAATGCCACGCCGGTCCTCACACTTTTCCGCCGCAGCGCCCGCGCTCACCGCTCTCTCCATCCTCCCCACAGGCTGCCCGAGGACGACTTTTTCCCCTCCGAGGGCGACCCGGCGCCAGAGGGCCTGCCGCCCCTGCCCCAGAGGCCGCAGGTGTGAGGATGGTTTGGCGTCGTGGGTTTTGGTTTGGCCGGGGTTTGGCGGCGGGCGGACTGGCGCTGGCAGGGTAGATGGCAGTGTGGTTGCCACACTCCCTTGCAAAGCACTGGCCCCATGTAGAGGCAGCGCAGGGACTCCTGCTCCTTCAGGCAAGCAAAGGGCCCTTCTCACCTGCCAACCCACAACCCACCCCCCAAACAAAACCAAAACACAGTGGCCGCCTGCTGACGTGGCCCTGATTCCGGCCTTCCCGCCTGAGCTGGGCGGGACCGAGGCCGGCCCCGGCCTCCTGGAGGCCTGGTCCTTCCTCACCTCCTTCTCTGGTGAGCTGGGGCTGGAGCCTGCCCCCCTGGACTCCCTGCTGGCGGCGCTGGCCCGCGGCTCGCGCTCGCCCGCGCTGGCCGCCGTGCACTGCGGCCTGCTGCGCACGCTGCAGGCGGACGCGGAGGAGGCGTGGGCGGCTGGGCCCGCCTCCACCTACGGCGGGCTGGAGTCCAGCGCGGCCGCGGCGCGCCTGCTGGAGGAGGCCTGGGCCTGGGGCTTCGACCCCGACGCCTGGCGCGCGCACCTGGGCGCCGCCACCTGGCCCGAGGTCGCGCGCCAGCTGGCCACGGCCGCAGGCCTGGGCCGGCCGCGCCCGCGCCCACGCCGCGAGGAGAAGCCCAAGATGGGACGTGAGGGCGAGGACGTGGCCGACGACGGCGCGGCGGGCGGCGGCCTGCGCCTGAAGCTGCCCCCCCGCCTCGGCCTGGGCACGGTGAAGGCCGCGGCCTGGGCCGTGCTGGCCGAGGTGGGCGCCGCGGGGCTGAAGGTGGACGAGATCGCGCGGCGCATCCAGCGCCGGGGCCTGCGCGACCTGCGCTCCAGCCGCACGCCCGAGGCCTCGGTGGCGGGGGCGCTGGGCCGCGACGTTCTCTTCGCCCGCGTGGACCTGGGCACCTACGCCCTGGCCGCCATCGTCGCCTACGAAGCGTGAGGCTCTGTCTTTTTTTCATGTTGTCGTGGGTGGGTGGGGTGGGCAGGTCTCGTGTGTGTGAGAATGGGTGTGTGCGTGTGTGTGTCGTGCTGGAGGAGGGGCTTGTGAGCGACGAACCACCTCTCGAGGGGCCCTCTTCCCCACCGCCGATGCAATGCAGGAAGCTGGCCGCCGCCGGGGGCAAGGAGGGCGCCGCGCCGCCCGGCGTGGCCGTCGAGCCCGGCGACGCGGCGGCGCCGGCGGGCGCGGAGGACGGCGCGTCCCTGGAGGGCCTGTCCTCACCGCGAGCGGGAAGGGTGGAGGTGGTGCAGTCCGAGGCGGGGGAGGCCGGCGAGGGGGCCGAAGGGGCCCAGCCTGGAGGCGAGGACGCCGTGGAACCCGCCGCCGCGGAGGAGGAGGAGTACTCGGACGACGACGAGGACGGCCAGGTGGGCAGGTTGTGCTGGCTCGAAACGCAGTGAAGCAGGGGAAGGTCGGGAGGGGCGGCTGGGCAAGTGCCCTGCCCATGCCCATCGTACGCCTGTCCACTCCTTACAGTCACCGTCCCCGCCGCCCCCCGCCCCCCCCCCCCCCCTAACCCTACATCCAGGACAAGACCGAGGAGGGCTCCGGCGCCGGCTGGTGGAGGCCCTGCAGCGCTGCGACTACGACGCGCTTTCCTGGGAGCACCGTGTGGACATGCTGCGCTCGCTGTGTCTGCTGGCGATGCAGACGCCCTGCATCCGCGACACCATGGAGCGGCGGCAGGAGGAGCAGCAGCGCCTCAAACGCCAGGTCTGGGAGGACGCCAAGGTGGAGAAGCGGCGGCGCCAAGTGGAGGCCGCCGCGCGAGCGCGCGCGGCGGCCGAGGAGGCGGCGAGGGCCGTGGAGCGGTACCGCCTCGCCGGTGGCGGCGGCGCGGCCAGCACAGCGGCCTCGGCGGCGGGTGAGGCGGCGGGGGACGAGGCGGCCGGGGTCGAGGCGGCCGGGGTCGAGGCGGGCGACGTCGTGTCGCCCAAGCCCGAGTCGGGCACGGACCAGGCTACTGCACCCGTGCCGGGTGAGATGGCCGGGCCGCCACAGGAGGAGCCGCACGCGGGTGCGGAGGCCGCGGATGCATACGCAGGGCAGGCCGTGGAGGCCAAGGCCGGGGAGCCTACGCGGCAGGAGCAAAGCGACGGCCCAGCGCCCATGGAAATTGACGGTACGGCGCCCGAGGCTGCGAGTGCGGCGCTCGTAGAAGCCTCCCCCGTGAAGGCCGAGGACGGGGCTGGAGGGAACGCCCCGGCGCCGCAGCAGCGACTGCCGGAGGGGGCTTCCCCGCCCGCCGCCGGCGCGCGGGAGGACCCTGCGTCCGACCAGGACCCGGGCGCCGTCGCGGAGCGGGAGCGCGTGGCGGCGGCCATCGCGGCCGCGGAGCGCGCGGCGACGGAGCGCGAGACTGAGGACCGCGAGGCGGCGCGCGCGCGGCAGGCGGCGCGCGCCGAGCAGGTGCTGCGCGACATGGAGCGCTGCGCCGTGCGGCTGGAGCCTCTGGGCGCGGACCGCCGCTTCAACCACTACTGGCGCCTGGTGGTGAGCCTGTCGGGGTATAGGGAGAGCGGGGGAGGGGGGTGTTTAAGAGGGGGCCGGCGGGGCGGCGCACCCCTCGGCGTGCTGCGGTGCGGGGTACCTGCGCGTCGCAGGGCTTCGACCAGCCCTCGTCCCTCCCCACACCACCACCACCGCCCACTGCACGTCCATGTCCCGAGCCGCAGCTCCCGGGATCAGCGGACCACGGCACCTCCATCGCCTCGCCCGACCCCGGCGCGGGCCGCATCTTCTTCGAGTCGGGGGAGGACGGCGCGCTCAGCATCGTGCGCGACGCGGCGAGCCTGGACGCGCTGGTGGGCGCGCTGGAGCGGCGCGGCGCGCGCGAGGCGGGGCTCTACGCCTCGCTGCTGCGCCACCGCGACGCGCTGGCGGCTGCCATGCCCGCCCGCCCGCTGGCCCTGCCGCCTGCGGATGACGACCTGCCGGCAGAGGAGCGTGCGCGGCTGGCGGCCGAGCACACCGCCGCGCTGCAGGCCTGCGGCATCACGCGCGCGGGCCGCGCGCGCACCGGCGCCGGCTGGTCGCCCTTTGCGGCCGGCGACAGCGAGGAGGCCACCAAGCTCAAGGCCGACCTGCTGCGCATCAAGGACGCGCTGGCGCCAGAGGCCCTGGCCCCGGGCTTCGATGCGGGGGCGTGGGCGGCCAGACTGCTGGCCCCTGGCACGCCCGAGGACCTGCGCGCCGCGCTGGGCGCGCTGGAGGCTGCGCTGCTGCCCTCCGCCCTCTCCCCGCTCTTCCCCCGCGCCCCGGCGGAGCTGCTCGGGGGCGCCTGGCTGCCGGTGGGCGCTGGGAGCGCGGGCGCCGGCGGCGACGGCGGGGATGGAGCCGCTGGCGGCGAGGCCGAGGGCGCCGGCGACAAGGAGCACGACGCCCCGCGCGGACGCTCCACCACCCCCGCCGGTAGCCAGCCCCAGCTCGCCTGGCTGCCGGCCACACACGCCTCGCTCGCGCTGCGCGTGCTGAGCCTGGACGCCGCGCTGGTGCCGCGCCCGGGCGAGGCGCCGGCGAGGCAGAGCCTGGAGGGGTACTGCCGCGCGCTGCGGCCCGCCGTCGTGGACGGGAAGCAGGGGAGGGTGGTCGCCGGGCAGCCGCTCGGTGGGAAAAAGGGGTGGGGAGGGAGGGAGGTATCGGAGATGTACTGAAGGAGGGGGCCAGGCAATGGAGCGCTGGAGTGTGGGCGACACAACCCACATGAATGTCTACGCCGTGATGAACCTTACTGACAAGCGCGCTCCGTCCCCCACGTGACTCCTGCAGGCATCGGCGGACGCGTTCGTCCCGTCAGCTTTCCCCCGCTCCCCCACAAATTGCTCTATGGGCCACGGAGGGTGGGTCGCAAGGGGGTGGGGGGGGGAGGGAGGCAGATTCATGAGGGAGCAGGAGCATGGCGTCTGTGCTCGGAGGGTACCTGGCACGGTGCATGTAAATTATGTTCTTCAGGGAGCCAAAGGCACCCCACTGTTGCACCCTACTTGGTGTATCCAAGGCATGACCGACTGTTCCTCCCCCTTCGACCGCCCCGCAACCCCCTACTTTGCCGCAGGAGTTTGCCTTCCCGTTGGCGCAGTTCCAGAGGGATGTGGTCAACAACAGCGACGCCTCCATCGCCGTCGCGCGGCCCAAGGGCGTCGGCAGGGGCAGGGGCCGCGGCAGGTGACCCAGGGAGGGAAGGGGGGTTCGAAGGCTGGCTATGGGACTCCGGGCCAAAGCATGGGTCCTGTGCTTGCCACCCGGGCGCCCAGGCGGCAGTCTTGATTTGCACGAGCAGCGGCCGTGACAACTCTGTGCCCGACACCCAACATTGTCACCCATTGCGCTACCGGTGAAACGTGGCTCTCACATTTGCCTCCATCCGCGGTCCGATCATCTTGCAGGGGCCGAGGATCCGCCCTTGCCGCAGCAGAGGGGCGGCGGCCGGGCGTCAGCCGGGCCACGCCGCGCATCGTCGGCAGCTCTAAGAAAGAGCGACGGGCCATGCTGACGCAGAAGTCGGAGCTGGCCAAGGAGTTTGAGAACTCCGGCTCGGGCGAGTGGGGGAACGCATGGGCGGGGAGGGGTGCGCGCCCGGTGGGGAACACGGCGGCCAGGCTGAGCAGAGCATCTCTGGACCCACATTTCGCCCAGAGCAACACCAATTTCCCCCGTCCTCCTTGCAACATTGCCATCCCTCGCCTACAACTACGCCTTCACTGTCTTTCCCTGCACCCTGCTGCAGATTCCGAGCGGCACTACGGCACAGACTTCGATGAGGACCAGGAGGAGTTCAACGCCGGGGGGTCTGCCGTGCCCTCGGCAGGTGGGGATCTGCCATCTGGGGCCCCATCGGCGCTACCCTCCGAGGACGAAGCCATCTCAGGTGGGCTCTTCTTGTGTGATATCTTGAGAGGGTGGAAATTTCATGTTTTTGCTGATCAAGGCGCTGCCTCAAGCCGATCTGATCGCCAGGCAGGGAATGTGCATCAACCCCACCAACCCCCCTGGCACACCATACAGACGAGGGGAGCGGTGACGAGGAAGGAAGTGATCAGGACGCTTGAGCTCAGCCTCTGCCAGCGGCTAAGTGCTTGGAGCGGCCCAGCGCATCAAATGACCCCTCGACTGCGTCAGCGCCGCGTGTCATGCAGTATGATGTGCATGACCTTTGCCCCCTGGCAGAGCCTGCAGGCATGCAGACGGTGCGTGTGGCCGGCTCACGCCGCGCATCGTCGGCAGCTCTAAGAAAGAGCGACGGGCCATGCTGACGCAGAAGTCGGAGCTGGCCAAGGAATTTGAGAACTCCGGCTCGGGCGAGTGGGGGAACGCATGGGCGGGGAGGGGTGCGCGCCCGGTGGGGAACACGGCGGCCAGGCTGAGCAGAGCATCTCTGGACCCAGATTTCGCCCAGAGCAACACCAATTCCCCCCGTCCTCCTTGCAACATTGCCATCCCTCGCCTACAACTACGCCTTCACTGTCTTTCCCTGCACCCTGCTGCAGATTCCGAGCGGCACTACGGCACAGACTTCGATGAGGACCAGGAGGAGTTCAACGCCGGGGGGTCTGCCGTGCCCTCGGCAGGTGGGGATCTGCCATCTGGGGCCCCATCGGCGCTACCCTCCGAGGACGAAGCCATCTCAGGTGGGCTCTTCTTGTGTGATATCTTGAGAGGGTGGAAATTTCATGTTTTTGCTGATCAAGGCGCTGCCTCAAGCCGATCTGATCGCCAGGCAGGGAATGTGCATCAACCCCACCAACCCCCCTGGCACACCATACAGACGAGGGGAGCGGTGACGAGGAAGGAAGTGATCAGGACGCTTGAGCTCAGCCTCTGCCAGCGGCTAAGTGCTTGGAGCGGCCCAGCGCATCAAATGACCCCTCGACTGCGTCAGCGCCGCGTGTCATGCAGTATGATGTGCATGACCTTTGCCCCCTGGCAGAGCCTGCAGGCATGCAGACGGTGCGTGTGGCCGGCTCCTGTTACCGAGCCAGCCGAAACTGTCCATACAAAACATGTTGGCCACTCAGTAGAGCGGGAACAGTGTGCAAGCGCGATGTCGAGCGCCGTAGAGAACCTACCATTTACATGGGGTATCCATTCGACCCCGGAGCGATGGATACCAATCCGAGGAGTGCTTGGGTCCCGATTTGGCTGTGAACCACAGAGGGGTGGCCACATTGCACTGCTTGTTGCTCGCCGGAAGGCCCCTGCTGCTCAGTCCCTGCGCATTCCCGGTGATCTCAGCACGGAATCCGGGCCCGAGCCAGGCCGGCCGCGGCGCTGACCCCTGAAATGGAGAAGGTCACGGGGATGGTGCTGGACCACGCCCTCCAGTGGGGCGCGCAAATGCTGATTGTGTGGTTCGTGGGCCTCTCCCTAGGATACCTGGTGAGTAAGAAGGTGAATGAAGCCCTGCAAGGCGCGCTGCGGGCCCGCTTACCGAGCCCGTCCCCTGTCTTGCTCGCGCAGCTGCCGCGGCCTCGCTGGCTCCAGAAAGGCCTCGTCTGGAAGGAGCTGGCCCTGCAGACCACCACCGGGTCCTGGTTCAAGCGTGTCACCCTGGCCCTGCATGCCCTCCTGGTCGTGAGGTAGGTGGAGATGCTGTACAGCCTGGGTGCAGTATTACCCCACCCGCATTGCGCGCAGCTGTCCCGCCTGGACCACCTGATCCTGGGCCGCTGGCAGGGCCTGCCCCCTCCTCCAAACGCCATGAATGTCAAGGTCACCAAGCATTCGTTCATTGCCACACCGTTTTGCAGGGAGATCCTGCTGCGCCTGTGTCCGCCCGGCACCTTCCAGGCGGCCTGGAGGTCCCTGTGGCCCTCCACCCAGGTGTCGGCCTTTGCCGCGGCAGCGGCCGTCGCCTGCGTCGACGACGCGGCGGACGCCCCGCGCCTCGCCCTCGCCGCCGGGAGCCACGCCCCGCCCCACCCGGCCGACGCCGAGTGGTGGATCACGGAGTCCGACTGGCAGGTGTTCCGCGACGCGTGCGAGGGCGAGGGTGCGCCCGGGCAGCCGCGGTGGGAGGACATGTGCCGCAAGGAGTTCCCCGACTGCATCTACACAGCGCAGCGGCGCACGCTGCACTGCGGCCGCACCGAGTACCGCTCCACCACCGTCCTGCGCGACGCCGGCGCGGAGGCGGTGATGGACTTTTACCTGGATGACGATGTGCGCGCGGTGTGGGACCCCATGATCTCCGAGCACTCGCTGGTGGAGAGCCGGGCCGTGGCGGGCAACCCGGGCGCGCGGTGCCAGGTGGTGCGCTGGCTGCGCACCTTCCCCTTCGCCTTCATCAGCAGCCGGGAGTACGTTCTGGGCCGCCGCGTCTTTCGCGACGCCGCCACCGGCGCGCTCTATGGCATCACGCGCTCCGTGGACCACCCGGGCGTGCGGCGGTGCGGGCGGCACGTGCGCATGGAGGACTGCCACTCCATGTGGCGCTCCCGCTCCGTGGAGTGGCCGGGGGAGCCCGGGCGCCGCGCCGCCGAGACCGTGCTGCTGCACTTCGAGGACCTGGGCATCCCAGAGCACGTCGCGCGCTTCGCCATCCGCCACGGCATGGTCGGCTTCCTCAAGCGCATGCTGCCAGAGGCGCGCGCGTTCCTGGCGCGCCGCGCTGAGAAGCTGGACGTGGACGAGCCGGACCCGGACGCCTACGCGCGCCGCGTCGCGGCGGGGGCCGACGGAGGGTGTCTACTACTGTCGCAGGCGCACGGCGTCGCGTCGCAGGCGCACCCGCTGCCGCCCCGCGCCGACGCCGATGGCGCGGCAGACTCCACGGAGGCCTCCAGCTGGTCGTCGCGGGGGAGCAGCGTGAGCATGCCCAGCATGCGCCGCCTGGGCACCATGGTGTTGGCCTCCAGCGTCGCCGTGCTGCTGGCGCGGTCGGGGGCCAAGAGCAGCGCGTCGAGGAGACGGCGCCACCGCGCGGAGGCCGTCCGCCTAGACGCGCTGTGCCTGGAGTCGGTCGCGGCCGCGCACGCGCCCGCGGGCGCGCGCGCCGCCGACGCGCAGCTGGCCGCCCCGATGCCGCGCCCCGTGCGCAGGCTGCGACGGAGGGCGGCCCTGCATGCCGCCGACGCGCAGTCGGTGTGATGCGAGCGCAGGAGATGTGCGGCTGTTTCCTGCTGAGACGCAGGGGAGGCGGTTCAGGGCACCTTTTGTGGGACGCCACTGTGTCCGGGTGACAGCCTCCCTCGACGAGTCTTGACGTCTCTCTGTCGCGGGCGGGAGGCTTGAGGACGAGCCGATAGGGCGGTCGATCGCAGCGCCCGACGGCTCGTGGATGTTTGACTGGCCACAGCACCGACAGGTGGCAGGCCAGAATACACCCGCCACAACACATGAAAGTTGCTGTGCGTGCCCTGTATGCGTCGAGCGTGCTTGTACCCGGGCTGCCTCCGAGCAGAGTTGATTTGCTTGCCTGCCATTCACAGCTTCTCATCCCCCCCTTGTCGCTCTTCTGCAAAACCTTCTCCCCCCCACCTCGACTTTGCCCGCTTGAGCGATGCACACCCTCCAGGTGTTTTTTGCACACCAGCCCTTTCATTCTGTGCCGCGTACTGACCCCAGACCCCCCCAACTTTCATTGATGTGCATATTGCGCGAGTGCCCATGGTAACACAGAGCCCTCGATCACAGCGCTGAGCAGGCAGGCAGGCAGGCGGGTGTAGTAGTGGTGGCAGGGTCGTCGTCGGGAAGGATGAATCCGCTAGTCTGCTGTGTTGAGGGTTCTAGGACCCTCGGCAGGACAAGAATTCTGAACACCACAACAAACTGAGGCCTTGCGACTGATGAAGGTGGAATCACTGTAAGACCATGTGAGAAACTGGCTGTGATCTTCGCATGTGATGATAGAAGTTTGAGCGACCAGGGACAGGTGTGCAAGATTTGTGGGACGATTGGCGACCACAGAGATCGCGCCGGCGTGAAACGCCATGCATGCATCTAGAAGCAGCGGCAATGAGCCACAATCAGCACCATGTGCATCTGCTAGTTGTCCTCTTGTGCCCTTGTGTCAGACGGCATGAGACAGAACAGGTGACTCTTCATCCATGTGCAGTCTCCCGACCGGAATCGTCCCGTGCGCGCCACTCCCACCTCGCGGCGTGCTGCTTGCCCGGCCGACTCAAGGCTTGGCTGGTCGTGTGAGCCCACACCGTGCCATCGGGCGACATCGCATGCCCACTCCACAGGCATGCTTACCGGTGTGAGGTAGCTGCCCGTCCCTGCAGCATGGCTCCCTGCCTCCATGTGATCGAGCGTTGTGCACCCACCTCCCATAGGCAGCCGCGGCGGCAGCTGACGGCATGGCTGGTTTCGGCGCATATCAGTCAGGCGCATACAGCCAGGAGGGCCTGGACTTCCAGCCACGCCTGTCGCGCACCGATGTCGCCGCCAGCGCCGGCGTCGTGCTCGGCGTCTGCTGCTCTGTCTATGCCCTGGCCGCCCCCAGGGTTGTGAGCCTGTGGTTCGGCACCTGCATGGCAGCACTGGCTGGAACCAGCCTAGCGTGCACACGGGCACTGTTGCTGGAGAGGCAACACAAGGTGGGTATGGGCTGTGTGTTGTGATTGACCGCCCCCTGAAACATGTGCCTGATCTGTACGACGCAAGCGTGCATGCGTGGCACGTATCTGTTGAGGATGGGAGCCCTTGGGGTCTACCGCGCAGGCCCTGCAGCGCAGTGAGGAGGAGTGGGTGCGCCTGTTGAAGGCTGGGACCTCGCTGGTGCCCTTTCGTCGCTCCCGCCTGCATGTGGCCACCTTCCCGCCAGGCACTGGGTCTTCCACCTCCGACCTGCGCATCCACTGCCTCCACGGCTTCGGCTCCGCCCTGCACTCCTGGCTGGCGGTGGGTCCACACATCGCGGCGGCGCTGGGAGCTACCATCACCGCCCACGACATGCCCGGGTTCGGGCTGTCAGAGAGGTGCGGGAAGTTCATGAGCTGAACTGGCGGGCCTTGCCATCGGTCCGACTGCCATGTTGCAGCGCAGATCAACCATCCACCACCCTTGCCAATGGGATTGTCCCGCACCCCACCCAGGCCAGCTCAGGATGAGCCCTACACCCTGGCATACAACGGTGAAGCAGCCCGATTTATCATGGACGAGGTTGCAAAATCTGAGGCAGGCGCAACTGGCGGCCCCTGCAAGCGGGTGCTGATGGGGCACAGCATGGGAGCGGTGTCTGTCGCCGACGAGGTCATCAGGGATCCCCAGGTGCATGGGGGGGCGTGGATGCGTGGTATTACGCATGCTGTTTTCGGCATGGGGAGGAGAGCTGTGCAGGACTCATGCTTCCAGCCTCCCACATGCTCCTGGGTCAACGGGGCGCACTCCAGAATGCGTGGGAGACCAGCTGCCCATGTCTTTGCTTTCACACACACCCACAACCTTGGTCGCTGCGTGCCCAGGGGTACAGGGGCATCGTCCTCGTGTCCCCGGCCATCTTTGCAGCCAAGGTGCCCGGCCAGCCACCTGCTAGGCACAACCAGGCACTGGACCCACGGCTGGAGGCTGTCGAGAGGGTGGTGGAGGCGGAGGACGCCCCATCACCGCCAAATTCCAAGCCCTGGGCGCAGCGCCTGCGCCTATGCGCTCGTGCGCTGCAGTTTGCCGCGGCGCGTGTTATCCTGCGGCTCGCTCGCCCATTCATCGTCCTCACACTCCGCTCCAGGATCAGGAAGAAAAAGTGGGTCGGCGTGGCGGGAGTTCTGGGTTGAATCTGAGCATCAGGTGGCATGGTGCTCCTAGAGAAGGACGAAGTATGTTCAAGATCATCCCCCCCCCCCCCGTTTGAGTTCCCCGCAGCTTCTGGCGCATGGGACTGACGTCCGCCTGGGACGACGCAAGCCGCCTGCAGCCTGAGACTGTGGACCGATACCGCTTCCCCCAGCTGATCAGGGGATGGGAGACGGGGTTCTGCAGATTCCTCGCAGCTCGCTTCGCAGGTGACGGGGCAGCTTTATTGTGACGATGCAACGAGGTGTCCGCACACTATGTAGATGCGCACATCAATGGCGGCTCGTCACCTTCTGCTACCCCGCACCAACCTGAGCAGAGAAGGGGGGTCTGTTGTCCAGCTTGCGAGTTGCGCTGCATGGGCCGCCGAAACCCAGCCAAGCCGAGCGGCTGGCAGAGGTGAGTGTGGCTGAAGGAAAGTCACTCGAGCATGCCAGTCGCTCTGGATATGCCTCCTCATCACGCACTGGGCCAAGCAACCACAAGCATACTACCAATCTGCCGCATGCCTTCCTCCCCTTCATCAGGTGGTAAGGCAGCATGGTATCCCGTGCCTCATCGTGCACGGGGAGGGGGATCGTGCCATCCCTGCGACCAACAGCAGGGCGCTGGCACAGGCGTTGCCAGGGTCAAAACTGGTGATGCTGTCGCAGTGCGGTCATGTTCCTCAGGAGGAGATACCTGGAACGGTCGCCACCCACATCTCGGCATTCTTGCGGGAACTGTAGGGCGGCGTGCGGGGGGAGTGCTGCTGGCTGCATGCAGGGGTCTATCTTGTCATTGCCTGCCCATATGATGCCATAGAATGTGCAAAATCACCCACTGAAAGCTTGCTGTGGGGTTCGTTGAATTGTCACGCAGTGGTGGTGAGAACCAAGTGGAGATGCGTGGGAGAGAGAATGCATACTCATCCAGATGGCTTGGGACAGGACTGCAGTGAGGGTTGAAATGGATGCAGGATCACCGCACATGTCAAAACGTGCAGTCCTCCAGCGCAAGCATCCGCACGCCAGCCACACCCCCTAGCAGCAGCTGGGGGCCCTGCCACCCCAGCGCCAGCCCGCCAGGCACCGCCGCGCTATGCACCACGCGCTGAAGCGCCGCGTCGGTGGTGTGGGCCAGCACCACCTTCCCGGCGGTGTCGCTGGAAGCCAGGATGCTGCCATTCTCACCGCCTAGGAGCAGCTGCCGGATGCCTTCTGTGTGCGGCGAGGCCAGGGTCTGCGGGCGCCCGCCCCCAGCCGCTCGTCTGTCCAGCCACAGCAAGCCGCCGGCGTCGGTGCCGAGGTAAACGGCCTGTTCGTTCTCACACGCCGCCACAGCCGTCAGTCCGGCCCGGGCGGCCGCCGGACCCGGAGCCACCCCCTCCCGCTGCAGCTCCCTCGCGCCACCCACGAGGCCGCTGCGGCCCGCCTCCCCAGACCGGGGGTCCCAGAACACGCAGCCGTCGGCGGCAGTGGCCAGCGCCACCGAGGAGTTGCACCAGGCCGCAGCGTGCACAGCGTGCTGCCCGGGTCGCAGCTCGGAGACCCTGCGCGGGCCAGTGGAGGTGCAGTCCCAGAGGACTGCGGTGCCGTCCCAGGAGGTGCTGACGACCTGTGATGACGCCTGGCCGGAGGGAGCAATGCATGACACCTGTCGTGGTGGCATAGAAGAGGTGGAGGGGTGGAGAGAGGGTTGGATGACTGTGCTGAGGTGTGGAAGTCCTTCTTGCCCTGTCACAGGAAGGCGCCCCTACTCCGTAGTCTGGGTCACACAACAGCACCCAGCACCTGATCCCCGACCCACAATGTCATCATGCCACCGGGCGGAGGACGCTTCCTGTAAGGAGGGCTGCAGGCCGGTGCTGACGCTCCACACGCCCACCGCGCCGTCGTCGCTGCCGCTCACTGCAACCACCTGACCTGCATGTCAGGGGGAAAGGGTGGTGACTGTAGAGGTACTGCATAACGAAAAAGGAGTGTCTTCCTCCCGCGTGTCGTCGTGGTGTGGGTTGTAAAGCCCAATACCAACCTGTGAATGGGTCCCGGTCGCTCAAGCACACCAGCGCCGGCACGCCGGCCGGCATCTCGACGCAAGCCTGTACGAGGCCAGCAGCCTCGCCGCTTAAATTCGATGCACGGATCAACGCTATCCCTCCCGTCCATTTCTGGCCCTGGAAGGAGGAGCACCCCACCAGCACATAGGGCGACCCCGAGACAGTTGCTAGAGCATCGGCCCGGCTTTTGGGGCCCAGCACTTGATCTGGGCTTGTCATGGCGAAGGCAGATGTGTAGTTTTTCAATCAGGCTTGCGATGGGGTGGCACTGGGTCGACATTTGTGCACATGCACAGCGACATCCCTCCCAGCGGGCGGGCGCGCTCCCTCCCGATGCATGACAACACTCCCCGATTTGCACTCCTGCATCCTCAGGCCCTCTGCAAAGATTACAAGCACACAAGCTGGGAACAGGAATGTGGCAACGTAGCGAGTTTCAAGAGGAGTGAAGGAGGTTAGTGCGACTGTGAGGGTGTGTGAGCTGCCGAATGAGATGGGAGGAACACATTCGACAGGTTGAATGAAACAGGGTGCAAGATGGGCAAGGCTCCTCGCCTAGAACACTCAGGAGTTTGCTGGCAACAGAGAAGAGTATCTGGCCACCGTGTACGCCAGCCCGAGGGCCAGGGGCGCCGCGATCCACCACGTCTGGCAGACCAGGCGGAGCGAGCCCAGCAGGGGCCGCTGCAGGCCGATGTGGAATTCGCGGATGACGGCGTTGTTCAGCTCGAAGGCCTTTGCGTGCTCGGCCAGGAGGAGCGAGCGGGTCGGCGCGTCCAGCTCCCGGCCCAGCTTGTTCAGGGCGTCCTTGTAGTCGCCGCGCAGGCCCCGCCCCGTCCTGTCCCGGGGCGGGAAGGTGAAGGCCGCGGTGCCGGCGCCGCCGGCCTGCAGGCCCATGCCCTTGGCCACGCTGGCAGCCAGCAGGCGGCCGCCGGCCAGCAGGGCCATGTGCTGGGTGTAGGCATGCGCCAGCAGGGCCAGCGGGGCGGTGTCCTCCAGGTGCTGCAGGTGCGAGACGTAGGCCTCCACAGCGGGGGTACGGACCAGCTGGGTCCCCCAGTCCGGGCCCAGGAAGAAGGCCATGTCGGCCTCGAAGGCCGATGTCCGGGCCGCCTCGGTCAGGAGGGGGACAAACGCCTTCAAATCTTGGCAGGGGTGGTGGGGGGAGGGTGGGGTGGGGGGCCCGACTCCCAGGAGCATCGAGATCAGGGGATTTCACTCCAATGCCCAGGTACCTGTATTGGACGTGGAGACCGCCGCGGCATGCAGACTCATGTCCAGCTGCTTGTGCACTAGGTAGAAGCAGGTGAGGGCGCGCCCGTACAGGGTCCGGTCAGCGAGGAGGAACACGAGGCGGGCGTTCACCAGGGCATCAGAGATGGAATGTATCCCCCTGGTCTGGGTCCGGAACTCCTGTGTGAGATCCTGGGTGGCCCCAGGGGCCTTGATCGGGGGGGACATGGGTTACGAGATGAACACCGGCTGCACACACAGATCTCACCACCCAGAAGGCCACCCTTGAATGTTTACAAGATGCTCTCTTGTTTCCAATTTGCGCAGGATTGATTGGCTCGCAAACGGGGTGGGTTTTCCCCAGCACAGCATGGATTCCGGAGCACTTGTTGTTGAGGCCGCGCGCGAGGAAAGAGCGTTCAACACCGCGGGCCTAAACGTGCTCACTTGGGACTGCAGTCGACAGAGGGGATCATTGACCACCGGAATATTAACATGTACAGTATATCCATGTCTTTGTAGGGTGAAATACTTTTGGGTAAGGGCGCAAGTCATCGATCATGTCGCCGCCCAGCAACTCCAACCTCCCCCTGCACAAGACATTCTTCGCCAGTGCAGTCGCCGCGTGCACTGCGGAGGTGCGCACTCGCAGATGATGGAGTTATGCCGGGTATCCCTCGCAGTGATCGTCCATCTAGCCTGCCCCGGTGTGCTGTTGCCACCCTACAGACTTCAAACGTCCCATCCGCCGCAGATCATTTCCATCCCCCTGGACACCGCCAAGGTGACGCTGCAGCTGCAGCCAAAGAGCGCGACCCCCCATTACAAGTGGGTGTCGGAGACTTGATCTGGGTTGAAAGTATGATATGTCGTATGGATGCTGAGAGGAGATGTCACACCGTTGAGTAAAGCTGAGGCTTGTTTGGTGGCAGATCCTTAGCAGCCAGACCTGCTGTGCAGCTCCTCCTCACCACTTCTTCCCGCCTGGCTGCAGAGGCCTCATTGGCACGACCCTGACGCTGGCAAGGGAACAGGGTGTTAAGTCCCTATATAAGGGCCTTGGGCCTGGTGAGTCATGCTGGGAGGGGGACAAGGACAGGAATTGCCATTTCAGGTAGCAGGAAAGTCTAGCTTCGGAGCCTTCCACGCCCACGGTGCTCGGCAGCAGTGTCCCCAGGGCCATCCATCTTCCCTTTCCCACATAAGCGCAGGCTTGCAGCGCCAGGTCCTGTTTGGGGGCCTGCGCATCGGCATGTACGACCCGGTCAAGTCCCTCTTCGTGGGCAAGGACCATGTGGGAGAGGTGGGCCTGCTCACCAAGATTGCGGCTGGGATGACCACGGGGGCGCTGGGCATCGCCGTCGCCAACCCAACGGACCTCGTCAAGGTGCGCTCCCTCTCTCGCCGGAGGCTTGGGCTGGTTGCTTGGACTGCGGGCAAGTGTGCTGTATGATGAAACTCTGGACTTGAGGAAAGGGGGCCTGGGCATGGTGGCTGCAGGTGGAGATGCAGTTTAACATCCAAGACCTTCCCACAAGCACTTTATATCCCACACCCACATGCCAAAATCAACCACCCCTGCCTCGCCCACGCCAGGTCCGCATGCAAGCCGAGAAGAAGCTGGCCCCCGGCCAGAAGCCGCGCTACCCCGGCGCCTTTGCGGCCTACGGCATCATCGCCCGCACCGAGGGTGTGCGCGCGCTGTGGACAGGCCTGGGGCCAAACATGGCCCGAAACGCCATCGTGAATGCTGCCGAGCTGGCCAGCTACGACCAGATCAAGGAGAAGCTGCTGGCGTCGGGTGGGGTCTGGGAAAGTGGGAGCTAAGGGGTATGGGCTTTGGCTGTGTCGACGAGGTTTTGGGTGTGACCAGGCGGCCACCTGGTGGTGTTGACTTCCCCAGGTCATGCATTTAGAACATGGCAGCGCCTCACTCCATCCTATTCTTCCCCTTTGTTGCTAATCCAGGTCTCTTCAAGGACAACGTGTATTGCCACATCGCCTCCGGCCTGGGCGCCGGCTTCTTCGCGGTGTGTGTCGGGTCTCCGGTGGACGTCGTCAAGTCGCGGATGATGGGTGAGTCATTCATCGTTTGTGTCCCTCGCAGCGGCCCGGCGGTGTGTGGGGGAGGAAACCCAGGTCCTGGATGAGCGCCCGCCTGCATGGGAGCTAGCGCCAGCACGGCTGGAGGTGCCGCGCCCGGTCGTCCATGCCACCCATCCCATACAACTTCCCTTACATCCCCATAAAAGGCGCCGCACCCGGCATGTACTCTGGCGTGCTGGACACTTTTGTGAAGACATTCAAGACCGACGGACCCCTGGCCTTCTACAATGGCTTTGGGCCCAACTTTGCCCGGTTGGGAACGTGAGTGGGCAGGCTGGGACTATTTGTCTTAAGAGTGTCCCATTAGCATTCCTTGGCCTGGGTGAGGGACAGCAGCCGCACATCGCCACCCACCGAGCCTCTCCCCACCTCCTTACCGCTTCACACTGTCCCTCACGCCACAATGCAGCTGGAATGTGGTCATGTTCTTGACCCTGGAGCAGGTGAAGTTGCTCCTGGCGTGAACGACTGCAACACGCCCTGGCAAGAGATCCCCAGTCGCCACGTGTGCCTGAAGGCTGACCTGAGGCCTTGCTGACCTTCTCTGTTGCTCACCAATCCCCTCATAAACATCTTTGTGGCTGCTGTCCTGCACCTAGACTCGCTGATGCAGTCTCGCAAAGGCCAGCTGCGTGCCTCCCTTGTGTACCGCAAGCACAGACTGCTCTCAAAGAAGAGGTTACAACACCGGCCGCATGGTACAGCAGCAAGGTTATCAGTCGAACAGGGAGAAACCCATGTCCTGCAGTGGGTGGCACGGGGGAAGGGACGTGAGCCTTCCAACACCTTGGCATGACATGAGCAGGCGAGAGGCCATGAAAACACCCATGCTGCACCGGCCCTGCAGCCACTCACCGCGTCCTCCTCCTCAGACTCCTCCTTCTTCTCCTCCTCCTTGGGGGCCTCAGCAGCGGCCGCGCCACCAGCACCAGCGGCGGGGGCAGCGGCGGCACCGCCACCTGAGAATGGGTCAAAGTGGAGCGGGTGGAAACGGTGGGTGAGGACGACCCGGTGGACCATCCTCGCTGGCCACAACGAAGGTGCGTTCCGCGCTCCCGACAATCAACGACACTCACCGGCACCGACGTTCATGATGAAATCATCCACGCTCTTCTTCTGGGCCAGCTTGGCGAAGAGGGAGGGCCAGTAGGGCTCCACCTCGATGCCGGCAGCCTGCACCAGAGAGTTGATGTTCTCGGCCTGCGAGGGGGGAGAGGTGAGGCGAGGGATGAAGGATCCTGGACGCAGCGCAATTAAGACGCTCTTATGATGTCCTTCCGACGCCAGCAGTGCTCCGGGCTTGGGCCATACTCACAGACACCTCGACGCCGTCGTCGTTCAGGATGAGGGTGGCGTACACCACGGCGAGCTCGGAGCGGCTCATGTTGGTTGCCTGAAAGATATTAAGCCGGGAAGGCACTAACAGGTCAAACCAACGTAGGAAGGGGCCGGCAGTAGGTCGCCCAGGTGCCTTTGCACTTCTGGGCGGCCAATGGGTACCACGGCGCGAGCCCCGCCCTTACGATTCCGGGGTCAATTGGAGGGCACGGACAAACTCCTTTCGTATTCAGTTTCTGAGGGAATAGTATGGCATGACGATTGAACAGAGCGTCGACACATCACGTAAGACTCCTTTTCAAATTGGCAATCTCACACACTGTCCTTGCAACGTCAGGATTCATGTTTTTAGTCTGTTGAATGGTGTAGCACCTTCGTGAACCTCAGGGCCTGGTCACACAACGGCACTCGTGAATGCACATTGAGCATCACCCTCCACATCACCCCCAAGCCTTTCAGATCAGCACAATATATATGAAAAGACACACTTCACACCCAAGCAGGAGGTACGGTTGCTTTGGCAGGGCGGTGCCAAGTTCAACCAACAGCACTCGCCTTAACAGCAATTCTGATTTCATCAATTCATTGTCCAACCGAGATATTGCACCAACACTGCATGGACACCAACATTCTTTTGTGGTGCGAGCTCTCTGATCTCTGCAGTCGGCTCCCCATTGACAGTGTGAGTTCTCATGCTCTGCGTGCTATGCAATGTTCAGGTAGGCAACCTTCCCACCCCTAAACGGTGCAAATACATCACCCAGTCCCAACTTACGTGCTTCTGAGCAGAAATCAACGCCATATCTGCAGTTTGTGTCGGTGGCCCTCTGAGGTGTGACCGCCCAGACCTGCCCTCGGGTCGCACAGTCCTGAGTGGTCCCGTGACGCGATGGGGAAGATCCTCGACGAGCCATCATACCCGGTAGTGGACAGCTCCCCGCAATTCTGGAGAGTGGGTGAGTGCGAGGTGTGTCGGGCTGCGTCCAGACAGGCCCTCGCTTCGTTCCCGGGAGCATAGTCGTGGCCGAGCTCCCACCCCGATCCCCCAACCCCTCTCAGTCAACAACTTTAGCTTGTCCGACTACGGCAGCTGGGCCCTGCTGTCGGGCCTCGGAATTCCTGTCGGTCTCCTAGCGGGTGGGTCCACGGTCGGCCATAGGGAAGCACTTTGGTTGGTAGTAGGGGTCCTCCACTGCACCAACATGCGGCTCACACAATACAAGCACACCCTCGCTCACTCCGCTCCCTCCCTCCTCAGGATCCTCCAAGTCGCCAGCGTTCGCTAGCATCTCCGGCAACCTGCTGCGCCCCAGCCTGGCCACAGGTGTCGCCATCGGCGCCTTCGGTGGGTTCCTGTTTGCGTATCAGAATTCTGCTGGGCGGCTGATGGGGTTCTCCAAGAACGACTCGGAGGTCAAGGCCTCACGGCGATGAATGATGGCGAGCGCGGCTAGAATAAGGGAATGGAGGACACTTGACGATGCCGAGCAGGCCTGGGCGTGGACTGAGACCTGGCACTCCGAGCTGCCGGCACTGCTTGATCGATGTGCAGTTCCTGCTCGCACACTGCGCTGCTGATCCATTCCCTTGCAAGCGCAATGCTCCTCAACACTTGCGTGTGCACCGCCTGCAATCGTAGCAACACACCGCAACCCCGACTTATAAGGCGCCTTGCCAGAGGAGCAGTGGCACCGACGCAGTGCGTACCCTGGGAGGTATGACTGGCTTCAGAGGGTTGAAGGGGAATCTCTTGCATTCCCAGCCCACAGCACATGACGTCCTCCTGCTGTGCTGCGGTCCAAACTTGTTCACGACGAGCGCGGCTGCTGCCTTCCCCGTGCTGCCTGAAGTCAAGCCCCTCCCTCATTCTTCCCCAACTCCCCCTCCTCCCCGGCCCCACTCCAAGTCTCTCCCACGCCCTGCTGTCCCCCACCCCACCCCGCGTCCATCCCCCCCCCTCCACTGGTCATTGCCTGTTACAGGGCCTTTGACCTCAGAACATGGCGTTCAGCTCCGCGTCCTGCCTGGCCAGCTCGAGGAGCATGGGATCGTCAAAGTACTTGTTCACCGACACGTCGTCGCTCATGCCCTTGCGCCGCCGCGTTTTCACCATGAAGTCGCGTGCCAGGGCCTGCACTGGCGCCGGCTCCAGCGGGCGCAGCACCACGCTACGGTCCAGGGGGTCGCCGGGAACGATCTGCCAGTGGTCGAAGGCGGAGAGGCAGAAGGCCTGGCCCTGGGTGTGGTAGCGCAGGTCGGTCTCGAACCCAAAGGACTCTATGACCGGGAGGAAGGCGCGGACCAGGAAGACGGGCGTGCCGGGGCGCGGCACGTCGGCGGTCACGTGGCCCCGCCGCTTGGCCAGCACGTTGTAGATGGCAGCGATGCAGTCTGCGGGGGTCTGGATCTCCACCGCGTACACTGGCTCCATCAGGCGCGGCGTGGCCATGAGGAAGGCGGAGTAGCAGGCGCGGCGCGCGGTGGGGATGACCTGGCCGCCGCCGCGGTGTAGCGGCTCGGGCGCCACCACCGCGTCCATGATCTTGAACTTGCAGTTGCGCAGCGGCTCGTCGCACAGCGGGCCCTCCCGCGCCCCCCACTGGAAGCCCTGTGTGTGTTGGGGGGAGGGAAGAAGGGAGATCTTGGGGGGTTGGACGTCAAGGATGGAGAGTGGGGGTGAGCCGAGGGGCGTAAATGCACAGACGTTATGGAGAGGCTGCCAAGAGGTGCATGTAGCAACAGAGGGCGGATTGCTGGCTCTGTGGTTGTTCCTCGGCCGCCCATTCGCATGTTGCAGACACCCAGACCTTCCCTGGGCCAGTTGCAGCAAGACCGAGCTCCCTCCCCAGGTCCGGTTCCCTCAAACCCCCCACCGCATCGTACCTGGACAATGCTTTCTCGCACTGCGTTCAGCAGGGTCTTGTCCACTTCCGAGGGTAGCGTGTCATCCATCAGGATGTTGGGGCCCGATTTGTCTGGTCCAAAGGCCCAGATGGAGCCTGCGAGGGGGACAGGATGTGGTGGAGGGCGTGCCAGCAGAAAACGCTGGGGATGGGACATCCGGAGAGTTGTCTGCAGAATCGGGGAAAGCACTCGGCCGCGGTCGCAGCAGAAAGGGTGCCGGCGAGGCATCGGCAGGGGCCCGCTGTCGCCCAGCCACTTCCGCTGAATCGGGGTCATCCAAACCTCCTCGCACAGCCCGTTCTCACGTGCAGCCAGGATGTCCCAGTCGTATTTCGACTGGAAAAAGGTGCTGATCTCCTTGCGCGTCCAGTCCATGGAGACGGCGCCCCGCTCGATGTCCTCCGCCAGACCTGTCCACAGGTGCGAGGAGGGTGGGGGCCTTGAGCGAAACAGAGCGCTTGAATGCAGGGAAGAATAGTGGTAGCTGCCAGACAGCGTCTCCATCGGTGGCCCCACCATCATCAGACAAGCCCATGCCAGGTCAGCAGCAATGCAGAGCATGCTCATGACCCTCTGTGCCTCGTCGCCATGCCCATGACATGCCCAAATCCATGCCATTGCAACCACCCAGCGCCTAGGGTATGCACTCAGTGCACTACCCCTCCTGCACCATCGCTGGTGCCGCCATCCCCAGCCGCCATCCCCAGATACCCCCACCCCACACCCACGCCTAACACGCACCCTTCTCCAATGGCTCAGCGATCATTGTGATCTTGTTCTTCTTGTTTGGCGTCTCCGCGAAGCACTTGAGGGAGGAGGTCTCCACCACGGTCTCGCAGAAGGCCACCACCGGGTCCGCAACCTTCACCTCCACCTCTGCGTACATCTCCCGCAGGTCCTGTAGGGGTGAGAATGGTGGTGTTGCAGGTTGTTGTGTCAGGCAGGTTGCGGTGTCCATACTTTTCCGGAAGCCCTGAGGACCGATTGGTGACCGCACGGAGTCCGCTTTCCCAGTGTTTGTGCATGCAGGGCTTTTACAGGCGCGGCAAGCGGGTCGCATGTGGCCAGAGGCTCCGATGATCTCACAGCAAAACAGGCTGGGTCGGCCTGGAAGTCCTCCTCAGGCGCAAAGAGTCGTGAAGACAACCGCTGACACCTTCAACATCTCCAGTTCCACACCCTCCCAGAGCCCCCTCAGACCTACCTTCATGACGGAGTCCAGGTAGAGCTCCCCCGTCCCGAAGATGGTGTGCTCCCCGCTCTCCTCCACCTTGGTAACCAGCATCGGGTAGCTCTTGTTCAGCTTCCTGAGGCCCTCCACCTGGGCATATTGGTGAGGTTGGGTTGAAAAGAAGGAATCCACTCGACACCCATGCGCCAGGCATGCACCAGCACCTCCAGGGTGCCAGAATCGGAGGGGTCGCATGTGCACCCTCACAAGATGGCGTCTCCGTACACATGCATTCACACAATCGTGCTGTCGCACAGGCAGCCTTCAGCCCCTTCACACACACACACACACACACACAGACACACACACACAGACAAGCACCCCCTCACACCATCTTTGGGAGCTCGGAGGGGTTCAGCGGCTCAGTGGCAATTTTCACCACGGCCTGGGCGCCAAAAGTCAGTGGTGCGAAGATGTACGCCTCCTCGGCGCCAAACTCCGGGACCAGGGTGGCGGTCTTGGCCACCGTGGCGTCCAGCCCCCCCAGCAGCACCCAGTTCCCAGCCACGGCGCGGGCCAGGGGCTGGCGGGCACGACCCTGGGCCGCCCACACTCCCGTCACCGTGGCCGTGGCGGCGTCCTCCTCGTCCTCGGGCGTGTACGCCTCGCCCAGCACCCGCACCTGGGTGTGTGGTGAAGGGTTGGGGTGTGAGTGTTTGTGCATGTGTTGAAGGGTTCAGTTGGGTGGGATGCATGCACGCGGAGGAGGTTCCAGGATCATGGCTGGGCTGGTGGTCAGGTGAGTGGGCCTCCACCGCCCCACCATGACCAACTCCTCCCCCCATCCCCGCCCCCTCTCCACCTTGTCCCCCGGCTTGACGGTGCCGCTCAGGACCCGACCGAAGAGGTCAAAGGCGGTGGCATCGGCGGTGGGGAACAGCTTGGTGACGTAGACGGCCAGAGGCCCGCGCGGGTTGCAGGCGCGCATGTGGCCCGCAGCCTCCGAGTCCTGGGGCCCCGTGTACCACCGCGCGACCTTGGTGGCCGTGCCGGCGCGTGCGGAGGGCAGGCTGCGCACCAGCACTTCGACCAGCCCCGCCGCGGAGCCGAACACCGCGGTGCAGGCCTCTTTCAAGAGCGGGCGGACGTTGGCGCCGTAGGCGGCGGGGCGCAGGGCCACGCCCAGCTCCGCCATCAGCTCCCTCACCGCCGCGTCGTCCTCGCCCAGCACGGTGGCGTAGATCTTGTACAGCGGCTCCAGCACGAACTGCACAAAGGAGCGGTCGCCGCCGCCGGCGGGCGGCGCGCGGCGGAAGGCGCGCACGTCCGCGTGGTACCACAGGTCGCCCCAGAGACGGCGCGCCAGCTCGCGCGGGTCCAAGGCCAGGCGCTGGACCTCGGACTGCAGCACGGCAAAGGACTCCAGGGTGAAGGACCAGCCGTAGAGCGGCGCGGCAAAGGCAACGTTGCCGCGGCGTGGGTCCAGGACGCGGTCCGCGGCGCCCTCGGCGGGGTAGTGCGCGCGGACCAGCGCGTTCACCTCCTCCACGACGTGGCGCAGCTTGTGGTAGGCGTCTGCGGGGGGCAGCTTCAGCTCAGTGATCAGGCGGTCCACCTTGGTGACCACCAGCGCGATGGCGAGGCCCTCGGCCGCCGCGGCGCGCACCGCGCGCTCCGTCCCCGCCGCCGCGCCCTCCGCCGCGTCCACCGCCAGCAGCATGCCGTCCGACAGGCGCAGCGAGACCGACAGCTCGTCGCCAAAGTCGAGGTGGCCGGGCGCGTCCAGGATGCTGGCCACGTAGGACTTCCCGCTCAGGCCCTGCACCACCAGGCTCACCGGCGCGGCCTTGATGGAGATGCCGCGCCGCTGCTCGTCGGCGCGCGTGTCGGTGTACCGCATCGGCGCGTCGGCCAGCGCCGCCGCGTCGGGCACCACGTGCGTCTGCTCCACCAGCATGTCCATCAGCAGCGTCTTGCCAGCGTGGATGTGCCCCGCCAGCGTCACGTTCCGACACAGCTCCGGCGTGGCCAGCAGGCTGCCCAGGAACTCGGGGGTGAAGCGGGGGGCCAGCGCCGGGCCGCCGGCCTCGTGCCGGGCGCGGCGCACGGGCGCCACGATGGGCACCTCCAGCGGCTGTGCGTCCTCCTCCTGCACCAGGGTCTCGGTGCCCGCGCCGTACAGCTCCTCGGCGCTGGGGTAGTACTTCTTGTCCTCGTGCAGGACCAGGGCGCCGGAGGGGGCGCCGTCGTCCTCCTCCTCCCCATCCTCCTCAACCTCAGACCCTGCCTGGGCATCCATGTCCTCCGCCCCGGGCTGCTGCTGCACCTGCTCCTCCTCCTCCTCCTGCTGCACGGGAGGGCAAGACAACGTCAGGCGGCCCCGATGCTGAAGTATTTCCTCTGATCACCCGGCACCCCTGCCCTGCCACCCCAACCCCCTGCTCGCCTCGCTGCCGGACAGCTCGGGGCCCACGTAGTTGCCAAACTCGTCGTAGAGCGACTCGTCCATGGCGCCCGCGGTGATGCACCCTTCCACGCTCAGCACAGTGCCACGAACTCGACAACGGGCGTGGTCTGCGGAGGGAGCGTGAGGCAGGCGTTCGGGGCCACCGCCAGCTCTGCTGCGGGGTGGGTGATGGTCGAGCCTGCGTGCCCCCTTCCCCAAGACCACTCCCAGGAACTGGAAGGAACAACAATGAACGCACTGGGGGACCAGAATTCTGCACATCGCGCTGCATGGTGCTAGCCCGTGGGCAGGGACTCCCCGACGAGATCCTGTGTCAGGTGCCAGCCTGGCGCTCGGGCCGTGGCGCACTGAGAGTCGCGCCCTCGACTCCAGTCCTTCAAAGCCCGCCTGGTCGACCCATACGTGACTCTCACCCACATTCCAAAGAGACATCTTCTCTGCCTCGCGTGCAGCCAGGCACTTGGTGGACACACCTCGGGTAGAAGTTGAGAGGGATGGGTGACGACTTCTACGTCCGGTACTATATTGGGCACAAGGGCAAGTTCGGACACGAGTTCCTAGAATTTGAGTTCCATCCCGATGGCAAGGTGAGGGGATCCGTGCGTGGATGGATGCTGCGTGAATCCCCAGCAGGCTTGTGATGGTGGCCGGCCACGTCGAGGAGCGATGCCCTTTGCAAGCTGAGGAGGGCAGGCTGGCTTGATCATGGCTAAATCCATTTTCAGGCAACCCTTCACCGCGCCGATCTCCCTCATCACCCACAGCTGCGGTATGCGAACAACTCCAACTACAAGAACGACACCATGATCAGGAAGGAGGTGTACGTCACAGATGCAGTGCTTGCAGAGCTCAAGCGCATCATCTCGGAGAGCGAGGTGCGTGTTGTGGATGCTGCGCTGGGAAAGGGAGGGCAGTGATCTTGGTTGTGTCGCTGATCGCCTGAGCGTTCCAGGATGCTGTGCTGGAAGTGGAAGAGGAACCAAGCGCGACTGGCCTTGCCGGGCCAATATTAGCATCGCAGCACACTCATACCCGTGTTTCCAACACTCTAGCCATTATGTTGATGATTTCAACGTGCAAGTATGGATCAGACCGTCACCCTGCCCTGGTTCCCCTCCTGTTTGCCCCAGATCCTGAAGGAGGATGACGAAAACTGGCCCGTCCCAGACAGGGTGGGGCGGCAGGAGCTGGAGGTGGTCCTGGGTGGGGAGCACATCTCCTTTGCCACCACCAAGCTGGGGTCTCTCCTCCAGGTCCAGTCCAGCAAGGACCCAGAGGGCCTCAGGGTCTTCTACTACCTGATCCAGGTGGGCGGGGAGGGGTGCTCGGGACTTGCATGAATAGACCTGCAGAATTGTGGCACCTGCAGACTGAAAGTCCCGGACGAGTATCGCATCGCGAAAGCCTAGCTCTCAGCACCCATCCCACCCTGTGCAGGACCTCAAAGCACTCGTCTTCTCACTGGTGTCATCGCATTTCAAGATCCAGCCCATCCAGCGGTGACCGTGAGCAATCTGACCTTCCCCTGTGCCCTTTCTTCAGCTGTAATAGTGATTCCCGTAATGAACTATGGTGGGGACGATGGGTAGTGCGGAGGAATTTTGAGCTCGAGCAAGGGGTCCAGCGCGCGCGATTCGGATCTCACACACCATGGCATTGAGTGGGAAGATCGACTGAACCTGCTCGAGCGATGGCACTCAGGCGTGCCCTGTGAGCCAGTCTACAACCGATCTCATGCCAGGGTTTTAGTATTTGTATTGTTCCCAAAGAGAATCCTGGTAAGCCGCTACGCATCAGAAGTCCGTGCCCAGGAGTCGCGCTCGACCTCTCAAGGAGGACGCCGGCTTCCTGCACTGCAATGGATGGGGAGGACGCCATCGACACGTTCATGGCCCTCACCAATGCTCCCAGGTGAGTCGATCCCTCATCCGATGTGCGCGCAGGTCATGGCATGTGTGATTCTTGAAAGCCCCTGTCCACTGCAGGACACATGTGTGTATCTCGATTTCTGCCGTCCCATGACATAGGCACGTGGCCCAGCATGTACTTGACGCCCATGCTGGCGACCTGGAGGCTGGCATCAGCTTCTACCTGGAGGGAGGCGGCGTGGGCCACGGCGTGACCGGCCCGAGCGGCAGCCTGGATCCCGTTCTGTATACCGCCGCACTGTCTGCGCAGGAACAGCCGAGGAGCAGCCCTCTCACAGTGAGGAGCTGGGTGGATGTACTCTCGAGGGAGCAGCTGACGGTGGCGAGGGGTTATCCGAGCAGCCCTCGAGCACATGGTAGACGTGGTGATCACGTCACTTTCGTGTAACGAATCGCAGCATGCGCACAGCTCGTGTAAAGGCATCCACCCCCAGACGCCCCACCCCCCGCGCCCCTCAGGCATTTGGGAGCGACGAATGGGACATGATTCCTGCTTCCCCACGAGGCCCTGAGGAGGCGGGTGCTCTCCATGGGGGAGGGGGAGGAGGAGGAGGTGGAGGAGGAGGACGACGAGCTTCAGGTCCTCAGCAGCAACCTGCCACACACGCGCGCTGCCACGTCAGCGCGGGCCCAGGCGGCAGGTGGCGCGCCGGCCAGGGTCCCCTCCCCCGACGAGGGCCGGCGCCGGCTGCGCAGGAACAGGCCGGGTCGGGCCGCCGCGGCCGCGTCCTGGGCGCCAGAGGCCGGGTCCACGGAGGAGGAGGGCGAGGGGCCTCGAGCCGAGCCCGGACCCCACGCCAGCCTCGCCGCCGGCGCGCGGCGGCGGCGGGCGGCCCGCCAGGCCGCCCGCGCCTCCCTCCTGGCCCAGGCGCTGGTGGACCCCGACCTCGACGACGAGGACGAGCCCGGCTTCGCGGGGCCGGTCTCGGGATGGGACGGGGCAGGCGAGGCCTTGGGCGACGACGGGGAGTGGCCTGCCCGGCCGCCGGCGGGGCCAGCCACACTGGCGGCGGCCGCCGGCCTGCCGGACGTCGACCTGGAGGAGCAGCGGATGCTGCTCGCCGCCTACGCGGGCGAGGCCTACGAGCCGCCTCCGGCCCCCGGGCCATCCGCGGCCGGACCCCTGTCGCCGCGCGCGCAGGAGCGGGCGGTGTTGCGCTCCGAGCAGGACGCCGCCTTCCACGCCTCGCTGCAGGCCGACCGGGCCAAGGCGGAGGCCGCGCGGGGCGCCGCGGAGCGCGCGGCGCGCGAGGCGCGCGAGGCGGCGGAGGCCGCCGAGGACAGGGCGGCCCTCGAACGCGAGGCGCGCGAAGCGCGGGAGCGCGATCTGGACGAGCGGGCTGCGCGCCTGCCGGCCGAGCCGGCGGCGGAGCGGCCGGATGCCGTGCGCTTGCTGGTCAGGCTGCCAGGCGGGGCGCGCCTGACGCGGCGGTTCGGGGCGGAGGACGCCGTGCCGGCCGTGTTTGCGTGGGTGGACGTCAGCTGCCGTGACGACCCGGCGGCTCCCACCCCGGGGTCCTATCGCTTGGTTGCACAGGTGGGTTTGGTTCAGGAGCGGGGCTTAGGGAGGCAGGGTGTTCTGGACGTCATGGGGCATGGCCGCGACGGTCCAGGCTCGACACTGTGCTTGTGGGTGTTTTGGATCACTTTCGTAGGAATCATGGCATGGATCATCAGACGGCCATGAATGAAAGTTGGATCAAGGGCATCACTGACAGCTGATGCAGGGCAGTGATGCGAGTGGTCCAAGGCCCCAGTGCTTCGCGCAGCGCCATTCATCCTCACCTCCATGGCCTGTGGCCCACGTTACCCTCCTGCAGTTCCCACGCCGGGTACTGCTGCATGACAGTCAGGAGTCACTGGGGTCCGCAGGATTCAATGGCGGCCAGGAGATGCTCCTGTTGGAATCCACCACATGACCTTGCTGCCACCCCTGCTCCTCCCAAGCATCCCCTCCTTTCCTCACGCTCTCCGCCACGCATGCTCTTTCTCGATCACTGGCCTCTGCCCCCCCCCTGTAAGCACAGCCCTCGCATGAGTGGCATTCCAAGTTCAAGCTCAAGGGGTTTTGCAAGGTTTCTTGGAAAAGTGCTGCGATGCAGCCCTGCTAGCGCCAGGGAGAGACGAGACCAGGACTGAGGGGCAGCGGCTCGGCCGCGAGCGGCACCTTTTCCGGCTCCTAGGCCTTCAGGCTCGGCGCCCCCGCCCGCGGCAACCCCCTGGGCGAGGCGTGGGTCCTGAAGCCGCTGCGAAAGAAGGGGACCACCGCGGGCCTGGCCCCTTGCGCCGGTGGCTAGCCCGTCGCCGGGCCGCCGGCGGCCATCGCGGCTGCGCCAGCCTGCACCTCGATGTGGCAGCCCACGCTCGGGCGCCAGCCACCCAGCGGGAACCCGTGCAGGACAGCGCGGCGCGTGCTTTCTCGCGAGGGGGGCCTCTCCCGCAGGCCCGTCGCCGGGGGCCCTGCCCTCGGCCCCCCCGGAATTCGTCCAGTGCCTCGTGCATCGCCTGGGCCTGCGTGGCTTGCCACGACAGCACCGGCGCGGTGCACACAAGCTTGAGCGGCCCTGCCGGCCGGACACTCTGCGCGTCCAAGGCCGCCGCCTGATTCCCGGGCAGCTGCACTCCGGCCCCGGCCACGCCAGCGGGCGGCATCGCAGGGCCTTCCCCCCTGCACGCGGCGGGGGCGGGTGAGGGGGGCCCGCAGGTGCCCGGCGCAGGCATGCCAGGCATGACATGCGTCTGGACCAGGGTCAACGGCTCCATCCTGCCACGGGCAGGCGTCCGCGGCCGCTCCTGCGGCGACAAACGGGCGCCGTTTTCCGCCGCCGCCGACCCTCGCCCTCGTTTGGCGGGGGGGCTCGCCGTGCGGGGGCCCTGCCGCCTGGCCTGCGCATCGTCCGCCCGTCCCGGGGTCCTCGTCCCCGGCCCCATGCGCTGCGCAGGGAGTGGGAGGACGCGGCAGCGTCGCGAGCGGCCAGGACAGCGGCGCACGACGGCCTCCTCGGCCCCGCCCCTCTGCGTCCCGACTGGCGGCGCCCTGCTGCCGCACGCTTCCTCGAGGCCCCGGTCCTTGCAGGCAGGGCCGCCCACCCTGCGCCGCGTGGAGGGCCCGTGCTCGCCAGCGTCGGGCAGGGACCCGCCCGCGCGCTTCAGGGATCGCTGTCCACCCGCACCCGCCAGCAGACCGCCCGGCCCAGTGGCTCCTTGCGACGGTGCGAGGTGCGTGTGTGTGGTGTAGGCCGACCACGCAGCACCAGGCACCGCGCCGTCGAGGACAGCAGGGGGGCAGGGAGCGTCCGCCGGTGTGCACGCCTCCTCCGCCACAGCAATCAGCGCGGGGTCGGGTGCGGGCGAGGACGCCGCGACAAGGTCGGCCTCCGCCGTGCCTGCTGCTGGAGGTGCAGGCAGGCCAGCCAGCACTGCCACGGGCGGCAGGCTTCCCCCCCAGCACCAGTCCGGCGTCAGGCGCTCGTCCATGGCTCGACACAGGGTCCTCGTCTTCCCAGCGACGGTCGATCTGTGTGCAAGGACGAGCAGGGCCGAGATGTGCACACGCATCACACCTCACCCACTCCAAGGAAGAGGGCCCCTCAGGCCTGCTCCGGGGCGGACGCCGCCCCGGTCCCGCGGTGGGCGCTGCAACCCCTGCAACCCCGCTCACCTGGGAGATCGGGCAACCGAGTCGGTGAGCAAGGTCTTCAGGACCCTCAGGCGCCCCACCGGCCGCACATTCTCAGGGTTCCCATCATCGCAGCTGTTCAGCAGCGCCGGGGGCCACTCGATCACCTGGAGGCATAGTGTGCCCGGAAGCGAGAGCGTGGGCGGGTGACCGAAGGGATGACCTGCGTGTCCTGACGGTGCACCAGCGGAGGCACTGGCATGAGATCTCGAGCCCGGGACGAAACTGCTCCGCCAGCGATGTGCTCAGGGACCCCCCACCCCACCCCACTCATGCACCCCACCCACCCTTTCCTCCGCGCCCGACCTCCTGCACCGATCCAGCCACGGCCCTCTGCGCGTTGCCCTGGCCACGTATTGGCGGATGTGGTCCAGGCAGACCCAGCATTCGCGCCCTGCAGGGGGACAGGGGAGGAGGGGACTGGGGTCGCAAGCACTTACGGTGGGACACCGAGCGCCCTTGCAACCCGAAAGAGCAGTTGCACCGCCAGTGAAGTCTACAGGCGGCCGAGGCCGCAGCATGCGTGCAGGGCCATCCCTCCCAAGGCCCATGCGAGTCATGGGTTGTGGGTCGAGACTCGCCTGGATCCGCAAAGATGTGCAGCAACTGCGCGGGCCGGTCCAACATTGGCAGACTGAAGATGCGACTCAGGGGAAGCTGAGAAGGGGTTGCTAGTAAGCAGCCTTCATCCACGGGCGTTGGCGGGGGGAGGACTTCGCGATCATCCTGCATGTCCAGCTCAACTGCAGCCCGGGGAGCAGGGGAGGAGTCCGCACCCGCCACGCCTTGTTGCACCCGAGCGCCGCCGGCCGCTCGCTCCGAGAGCGCAGCAGCCAGGCGCTGCGCCTCCTCATTTCTGCGATCGATGTGGTGACAAGAGTCCGATTATTGTTTCGCAGCTTTCCAAAGCTTGCGGCCCCCTTCGGGCTTCACACACGTAAGACCCTGGACAGCCTGGCCCAGCAGCTCACACCTGGGACCAACACCTCCACCCACCCCAACACTTGCCTCATCCTATCAACGAGCCCCCCCCGCCCTTCGCCCCCCACACCAAGACTATTCCTCACTCTGGCATCCACTGTGCCATTGCATCAGCCTCGCGCCAGCCCAACAGACGCAGTGGATGCACAGGCAGTTTGGTACCTCTGCGCTCTGACGCAGAGGACAGAATCTTGCCAAACTGGGCGGGGAGGGGGGATTGTGGCGTGTCTCACATGCCGGCAGTGCGAGGGGTCTGCCCAACGGGAAGCCATGGTCACCAAACTGGACAGCATGTACCGCGTGTATCCGCTCCAGCCGACCTCAACCACCCTCAGGTGTATGAGGTGGGTCCCTGGTCTGCATGGTCCCACCCATGCCCCAAGCCGAATTTCAAAGCCAAATCACCGGGATAGGCGCAGCGCCAACACGTTTCAGATGGCACCATATCTGGCGGCCGGAAACGCCCACGGCAGCCGAGTACTCTTTCAAGGTCACCCAGTGCCTGCCATCTGTGTGGCGTGGCGCACAGAAGGAAGCTGGGAGACTGAGGATGGATGGACCATGCTCAGACTTACACACACACAGGCGACCGCGCATCCTCATGGTGGGGTTCCCAGACGGGGCAAACAGGGTGCAGGAGGTGCCAACCCCTCCATGCCTCTCCCATGACGAGCTCCCTTGCCCGAATGCTCCCGCAGCAGCAGCCCATCCCCCACTCCACCCTGCCCTTGCTCTCACCTGCATCAAACAGCAGATGAATGCTGGAGGGGCAGGCGTGCGCTCGCTCGCCGGCCATTTGATCGCCGGGGCAGACGCGCAGCTTCACGATCGAAGGCTTCCTGCCCTCTGCGACCCTCTTGGCGGGACACGGGGATTCGCTGCAGCCCTGCCCAACGCCCCCGTCCAGCCGCTTTCCCTTTCCCCGAGCATTTATTGCCAGCGCAGCCGTCGAGGCGACCGCCGTCGCGCCTGGCCCCACTTCAACACCCTCATCCTGCGGGGCCTGCTCCGCCCTGCGTGGCTCCTCACCGCTCGGCCCGCCCTGGCTCCGGCTCCTGGGCCTGGCTGGCTCCTGCGGCTTGGCATCGGTGCGCAATGGCGCGGCCGCGCGGCCGTGCGCCGCGGCCGCGCGCGCGAGGGCTCCGTGCTCCGGGCGTAGCAGCGCCTCCAGCAGTTTCAGGTGCTTGGGGGAGAGGTGCGGCGCGCACGGCAGCTCGCTCCAGTCATACCGGAGAGCGGCCTCCGGGGCAGGAGGCGTCGAGGATTGGGGCGTGGGAGCATCGGTGTGGGGATCCCCTGTAGCCCCCGCCAGGTCCTCAGCGGTGGCCCCATCGATGCTCAGTACCGGAGCCTGCCGCATGCCCACCTCGGCGCCTTGCTCCGCCGCAGCCCCTCCATCCTCCTTCGCTGCACCGCCCCCCGCCCCGGCATCACGCGCCCGGGCTGCATCGCCCGCCTGCCCTCCGCCCTCCTCCCCCCGTCCGTCTGCATCCTCCGCGTCGAGCCTGGCCGCCAGGGCGCAGGCGGGTTTCCAGCCGGGTCCCACCAGCACCACGTCCTCAGGCCCGACCGCCGGCCCCCGCCCCCCGGCGGCCGCCGGCGCAGCGGCGCACTGAGTGCACACCGCCGCCCCCGCCCGCCCCAACAGCACCAATGCCAGGTGGCAGGTCTGCGCGCACGCCAAGCACGTGGCGCCCGCGCCGGCCTCCAGCGCGCCCCAGGCGGCCTCTGGGGCACGCGCCGCGGCGAGTCCGCGCGCCGCCAGCGCCGCGCGCTCCGCGTGCCGCGCGCGCACATGCGCGAGAAAGGCGGCGCGCAGCGGGCGCAGCGTCGCGTCGCCGCCCGCCCGCCCGCCACATGGCGGCCCGCCGCGTCCATTTCCCTCGCCGCGCTCCTCCCCCTCGCCGCCCAGGCAGCTGCGCGCCCGGGCGCAGAGCACCGCCTCCAGCGGCACCGCCTCGGGGACTCCCCAGGCGCGGTGCGCCGCCCGCGCCCGCAGCGCGTGGGGCCACCAGTCGTCAAGCGCGAAGTTGACGGCCTCCCCCAGGTGCGTCCCCGCGGAGAAGCCGGCGTGGTAGGCGCGGGGGAAGGTCACCACGAAGCTGCCGGGCAGCTGCACCGCGCGCACGACGCGCACGCCGGCCCGCGCCGCGTCGCTGGGGGGGAAGATCGTGGTCTTGGCCGCCAGCGCGGCCGCGGCGGCCGCCGCACGCTGCGCGGGGCGCGTCGGCCGCGCCACGCCTGCGAATGCGCCGGCGGCGGCCGCGCTTTCCAGGGCGTCGGCGTCGCGCGCGCCCACGCCGTACCAGACCTTGGCCGCGCCGGCGTGCGCGTAGTTGATGGAGTACAGGTGCTGGTCCTCCACGTGCCAGGCGAAGGCGGAGAAGAGGCGCCCGACGTACAGCATGGGGCTGGTGACGCCAGGGACATGGGCGTGGCAGTGGCGCAGCACCGAAGCAGGCTCATGCGGCAGCACCTGGGGGTAGAAGGGAATGGGGGAGGGCTGGGTGGAAGGGGGAGCGTAGAGGAAAGGGTTCAAGGGTGTGGGTCGCGCTAGGTACCGCCCAGCATGCGCCTGAGAAGCAGACATGGGCCGGGCAGGCAGTGTGCACGATACAACGGCCCCGCCAACCCCAGGATCAAACCCACGTTCAGGTTCCACTTTGTGGCGCCCAACGGGTCACATGGGTGGAAGGCCGTGCCCTCCACGTCATTGCCGTACTCTACGATTTTTCCAGAGTTGGGCGAGCTCTGCAGGGCCCAGTACTCGCACTGCAGGGCAGGGCGTGACTGTGTGTGGTGGAGTGCAGGTCTCGCCGGCAAACACCCCCATGGCAGGGCTTGTGCGTGCAATGCTCACAAAGTACAGCCTGCTGCCGCATAGCACGCCCAGCGTGGGCCTCCAAGCGTCTGGAGTGCTCATATGCAGCCTGTGCAGCCCCATGCAGCGCCAGCCGCCACAACAATCGGGGATCCTCTCACCCCCATGCCCACCCTGTCCTGGTACCCCTCAACCCCTCACCTCAGCGGTGCGGGGTGGCAGCGGCCCCGCCAGGCCGCCGTACCACGCGGCCTCTGCCGCGGCGGCCTCGGCGGCAAACTCCTCCAGCGTGTACTCACGGTCTCCCTCCTCGAAACGCACCGAGTCCCAGGCCGTCCAGCGTTGTCGACCCAGGGCCTGGATGCGGGTGGTGAAACGGAAGCCCGGGACGTCTGCCAGGACCCGGCCGGGAGCCAGGGCGGGGGCCACGGGGGCGTGGATGAGGGCTATGCCGGCCAGGCTGGCCTCGGGCTGGATGGAGCGGATGTAGGCTAGGGGGTCGCCCCACTCCTCCGCGCTGGGCCGGTACGTGGGGGCATCAGGCAGCGTCGACAGCCAGGCCTCCTGCTCCTGGTGCCTCTGAATTGCTACATCCAGCTGTGGTGGTCGCGATGCGATGGGGGGGGTGGGGAGCATGCCCCCTCGGGGAGCACGGGTCTGGGCCCGACGGGTCCCGCGCATTCCCATGTGGTTGGGGCAGGCTCTGCTCACAAGCGCTGCACATACCTTATGCTGACGCCTGCTTCTGCGCCCAGAGCCTTCCATCGGTGCCTGCGCCTCGCGTGCAGGGGCGTCCGGCGAGGCTTTCGGGCCCCGCTGGGGCCCGGGGTGGGCCCGCATATTTCGCCAACAAGCTGGCGTGGTGAACCGGCACAGGAACACTCCTATCAAGTATTATATCATTCCTGCAGCGGCCCATGCATAAACACTCGACGTTTGCGGGCGATGTCGTGTGCTGCATTCCTGGAACCCCCCTCCCGTCGACATTGGACAGCGACCATGATTTCCGACAGTGCTGCGATCGCCGGTGATCCACGGCTTCCGACGGCGATCCTCTCATATTTACACTCGGGAGCTTCGTTAAGGTGTTGGGTCTTGATCGTCTTTCTGGCGCATTCGAAGACAGCATCGGAGCAAGGAGGTTGCAGGTCTACACCCGTGCACCCTCAAACCAATGCCCATCGCACTCCAGCAGGGAATACATCACGAACATATACAGTTATATAGTGTTCTGAAATGGAAATACTGTCTGTATGTAAGGACGCCTTCGTTTGTCATTTGCAAGGGCCACCGCCGTTACATCCCGTGTATCTGTTCCGTCCGGGTTGATCCTCAGCGCGCGCGCTGCAACAGACAGACGTGTTCGGACTCAGCTCATCAGCAGCGAGTGCCGACATGGAGGGCATTCCTTGCGGCCAGGCCTGATGTACAGCATTTAGAGCAAATACAAGGGCCAGCGCCAGCCACTTGCCCGCGTAGGTGCCCGCCTACTGGCCTCCCGATGCTGCCGGGGACCGGAGGTGGCGTGGGGACGAGGAGACGGGATGCCGGCTTCTGGCAGGGCTCTATGCGTGGCAGACGCGGCACAGTGCTGGTATGCGGCCATGTATGATCCTGGGCGCGTGGGGCCTGACTGGCACGGGATTCAGGGGTGTGGACTCTTGAGTCTCTGACTTCTGACGAGTCCTTCCCCTAAGCAGGCCATAGCCACCCTGGTGCTCCTGGGTGGGGGCTGGAGCCTGTTTCTGTACAGCAACCTGGTGGATGCCGAGGAGTCCAGCGACCTGCACCTGCACGTCGAGGAGGGCCGGAGGTCCACCGGCGAGGGCGGCCTGCGCCAGCGCCTCGCCCTCCTGGAGGAGGGCATCCGTGGCCTGGCCAGCGCGCATCTCGAGGAGGCAGCGGACCTGGAGGCCAGGGCAGAGACCGGTAGCGCGGGGGAGGGGCTGACGCTGCGCCAGAAGGTGTTTGTGGAGGGCGAGGAGGTGGCGGAGGGGTCGGCGCAGAGCCCACCTCCCCCGGTGGTCCAGACCGCACAGGAGGTCGTCGCCCAGGCTGTGGAGGCTTCCCGGCAGGCGCAGGGGACGGGGGGGGAGCCGGGCAGGCCGGACCTGGCCCTGGAGGTGCAGAAGGCCGCCGACGCAATGCGACGGCGGCGCGGGGCCGAGGCCGCAGAGAAGCGCCGTCAGCGCATGGAGGAGCGGCTGGCAGAGCGCGCGCGGGCCGCAGTCCCACTGCGACCCCGGCGGGACCCACCCAACGGCACCGTGCTCACGCCCGCCGAGCTCACAGCGTGAGCCTCAAGGGTGGAAGGGGCGCCAGGGGCTGGCGCATCTGTTTGATTCATTCCCAAGCGGTGCGCCTCTCGGCTGCCGCGGCACGCTGTAGCCCTGCGATGACGGCCAGCTCCGCTGGCATGCAATGCCACGCCACAGGGAAGTCCTCTCAGTCCCCCCCGCCCCCTCCCCCCTTTCCTCCTCCAAAGTCGCCGCAAGGAGGTGGAGGATGCCATGCTGCACGCTTGGCAGGGCTACGTGACCTTCGCCTGGGGCCACGATGAGCTCTGTCCTATCAGCCAGACGGGGAAGGATGACTTTGGGGGCCTGGGCGCCACCATCGTGGACTCCCTGGACACCCTGCGCATGATGGGTGAGCGGGGGTGGGATGGCATCGGGGTCGATGCCTGGGACCCCGAGGTCCGAGTCCGAGATCCACTCTTCTCATCGCTTGGGACCAGCCCCAGCGCAAGTGGAGGGCGGTTACTGTCCTGTTCCTCTGAATCTGATCCAAAATCAAATCCCTCTCCCAAGTGCCCCCCCCCAAACTCATCAAGGCTTCACTGAGGAGTATGAGCGCGCGCTGGGCTGGGTGCGCAGCGGGCTGAACCTGACCGTGGACTTCAACGCCTCGGTGTTCGAGACCACGATCCGGGTGGTGGGCGGCTTCCTGGCCGCCTACGAGCTGACTGGGGACGAGGTCCTGCTCAAGCGCTCGCTGCAGGTGGCAGAGCGCCTGCTGCCGGCCTACGACACGCCGACCGGCATCCCATACGGCACCATAAACCTCAAGACGCTGGCGCCGCGCAACCCCAAGTGGGCCTCCAAGGCCTCCAGCCTGGCCGAGTTCGGCACGCACCAGCTGGAGTGGTACAAGCTCAGCGCGCTGAGCGGGGACCGGCGCTTCGCCGACCTGGCGGAGCACAGCATCCGCTACCTGAACGAGCAGTTCCCGGGGCAGGGCCTGATGCCCCTGTTCCTCAGCCCCTCCACGGGCAAGTTCACCTCCCGCCGCATCTCGCTCGGCGCCCTAGGCGACTCCTACTACGAGTACCTGCTCAAGATGTGGCTGCTCAAGGGCAAGACAGATGACATGTACCGCACCATGTGGGAGCAGGTGGGCTTATTTGAGAGGGAGGAGTGAGGAAGCATGGGGCCCCTTGGGTTGGAGGCGGGACGCCCCTGCGCTATGCAAGCTGTCAGCGCTCTTAGACACAACACTCATGTCGCTTGGGTGTCTTGAGAGGTGCAGCGACGTCGTGGTGCCCGCTCCGTACCCCTATTCAGTATACATGCCCTTGACATTCCCCCTCTCCACCACCACAACGACAACCAGGCCATGGATGAGATGCTGGAGAAACTGGTGCTCAACAGCACGGAGGGGCACATGTACATCGCCGAGCTGGATAGGTAGGGGTGAGGGTGGGGGGAGAGCCGGCAGGCGAAAATCATCGTGCAAGTTCAGGAAAGTAATCAACAGCAGTCAAGGGGCCCCTGCTCTGCTATCATGGCGCAACCCTTCCGTCGCTGCCCTTCAGCACCGATTTGTACCATGTCCACCCTTCTGCCCCGCCACCTCCACACCTTCAAACAAGGACACACACACTCAAGCGCCCCCCCCCTTCTCTCCCCACTACCCTCATGCAGGAAGACGGTGCGGCACAAGATGGACCACCTGGTGTGCTTTGTCCCCGGCATGCTGGCCCTAGGAGTGCACTCCGGAGCAGTGGGCGGCGAGAAGGGGGAGCGCTACATGGCGGTGGCGGCGGGGGTCACCGAGACCTGCTGGCACATGTATGATCGCCAGGCGTCGGGCCTGAGCCCCGAGATCGTGACCTTCCGGGCAGGGGGCGCGATGCGTGACGGCGGGGCCTACAACCTACTGCGCCCGGAGGCGGTGGAGGCCTTCTGGTACATGTGGCGTGTGACGCGGGACTGGAAGTACCGGGACTGGGGCTGGGCCGTCTTCCAGACCATGCAGCGGCATGGGAGGAAGGAGGCAGGGTTCTCCGGGGTCAAGGACGTGCGCGAGGCGGAGCCCACGCCGGACGATACGCAGCAGAGCTTTGTGCTGGCGGAGACCTTCAAGTACCTCTGGCTGCTCTTCAGGTGTCGGGGGGGGGGGGGCGGGGGGGTTATGGAGATATGGGGGTCCTGGGGGCTGGGGCCCAAGGTTTGACCTGGGGATGTAGAGGAGGCGAGTGGGAGGCGGGCCTGGGAAGGCTGGCACGTCGCGCGACGCCTTTGCGGCTGTCTTGCACCCGGTGTGCACCTCTCCACTCCACCCCTTTGCCTCGCTGCAGCGAGGACACCTCTTTCGATTTCGAGACGACGGTGCTGAACACGGAGGCCCACCCCCTCAAAGTGGTGCGCCAGCCCCTGAGTGCGGCAGACACAGACACGCAGCGATGAGGGTGGTGTACCGTGATTGCTGCACGCAGCGTGCGCCAGCCTCACGGAGAGCTCACTCAGGCTCTCTGTGTGGGATGCCGCGCATCGACATGTGAGGGCTGTGGATCGGTGCGTTCTCAGTCCCAGCTCATCACAGTGTACTCCTGCACGACCATTCATGATCAAGGCCAGGTGTATCGGACATGCCTGGGAGCAGGACTTGCTCAAGAAGAGATTACTGTCGCCTGCACATGCACAAATTCTTGTGGGAGGATGAGTCAGCGAGATCTTGTCCAGGCGCGGAAGGGATGTGGGTTTCGTTCCGGGTGTTTGAATTCAACCGGATGGAAGGCAGCCTGCTGATGGATGCTGACGATTGACGATTCACAAACATTTTAACGCGAAAACCCGACGAGTTCCTCATTCTCAAGCCGCTGGTCGACACCATGGGGGAGCTAGAAGCGGTGCTGGCCCCTCTGCAGGGCCGGGCTCCCTTCCCGGCCGACGCGGCCCTGTCCTACACCGGCCCGGTCCCCCGTCGCGCCCTGCAGGCTCTTGTGGCAGAGCTCACCGATCACCCACGACTGCGCTGCCTCGCCCTCCAGGGCTGCGGCCTGGACGATGCCGGGGCAGACCTGCTGTCCCGGGTGGTGGCCTTCAACCCCACCCTCGAGCGCCTGGACCTGCGCGGCAACGCCATCGGGGCCCAGGGCGCGCAGCTGCTGGCCAATGCCCTGCGCACGTACAATGTGGGAACCCTGCGCGCGCTGTGCCTGGAGGGTAATCCCTGCATCACACAGGCGCCGGAGCTCTTCCCCGGCGGCCAGACCGAGCTGTCGGCCCAAGCAAGCTCCACTCCCCGGGCCGAGAAGGGGCACGCCATGAGTGCGCCCTCCCCCCTGAGACCCCTGGACGCCAAAGTGGAGCGCAGGTGGGGGCTTTTTGTGTTGAGAATGAGGATGGAATCGGACATGCAGGACATATGCCATGTCCTGCACCAGCACTCTGAGAGCTTGAAACAGTCATGGTGGACCTTGACAACACGATTCAGTCCCTGCACATGGCTTTTTTGTCCAACCCCAACAGGATGTTGAGCCTGGAGCACGGCATTGAGGAGGCTGCCGAGCAGCTGTCCAGCGTGCTGACCTGGCGCGAGCGCTTCGACGTGGCGTCGGGCCAGATGGCCGCGGTACTTGAGATGCTGCAGACCGACACTGAGGCCATGCGGTGAGTTTTATTTGCTATTCTGGGGGTGTTCTTCAGGTGGAGCATATTGTGTCTGCATCACTACCAACAGAGGGCGCCGAGGGGATGCTCCAGCACGGTGCGTGCTGACGCACTGCCTCATCACGCCCCGGCCCACCGGCAACCCACACAGCACTCGGCTGGAGCTGGTGGAAAGCGCGTCACCAGAGGCCCAGCAGGCCGTGGCCGCGCTGGCGTCCCAGGTGATGCCGCAGTTGCAGGCCTTGGGCGACGCGCTGTGCGCACTGCGCGATGACCTGGCGGGCAGCGTGGTCGCGTCCCTGCAGGCGTCCGTGGACGCGCGGCTGACGGCCCACGGGGAGAGCACGCGGGTGGAAACTGCGGCGCTGGCCTCCGACCTGGCCGGTGCGCGCGCCACGGCGGGGCGAGCGGAGATGGGCGCGGCGGCGGCAGCGGCCGAGGCCGCGCGCGCCGCGGCCGGGCTGCAGGCGGTGAACGCGACGCTGCGCACGCTGCGCAGCGACGTGGCCGCCGCCTCGCGCGTCGCCGGCGACGCCTACCGCGCCGCCTGCGAGGCGGCGGCCGGCGTGCGCGGCGCGGGGCGCGGCGAGGGGCCTGAGGGCGCGGCGCCAGAGCCCGCCGCGGCGTCGGCCGAGGCGCTGGTGGAGTCGCTGGCGCTGCAGGTGGAAGAGTCGCTGGAGGGCGTGGGGTCGCGCTGGCGCGGCGCGCTGGCCGACCTGGCCGGCGCCGAGCTCGCCGAGCT